GTGCAGTTTGGGTACCTCAGCAGGACATATAGACACACACTCAGGTGCAGTTTGGGTACCTCAGCAGGACATATAGACACACACTCAGGTGCAGTTTGGGTACCTCAGCAGGACATATAGACACACACTCAGGTGCAGTTTGGGTACCTCAGCAGGACATATTGACACACACTCAGGCGCAGTTTGGGGACGTCAGCAGGTCATATATACACACATTAAGGCACAGTTTGGGGATGTCAGCAGGGCATATATACACACACTCAGGTGCAGTTTGGGGACATCAGCAGGACATATAGACACACTCAGGCGCAGTTTGGGGACGTCAGCACGACATATATACACACTCAGGCGCAGTTTGCTGACATCAGCAGGACATATAGACACACACTCAGGTGCAGTTTGGGTACCTCAGCAGGACATATAGACACACACTCAGGTGCAGTTTGGGTACCTCAGCAGGACATATAGACACACACTCAGGCACACTTTTGGGATGTCAGCACAACATATAGACATATAGCGCAGTTTGGGGATGTCAGCAGGACATATATACACACAGTCAGGCACAGTTTTGGGACACCAATCAGCCAGACTGCTTGTCATTTGACTAGCCCTGGGGGTGAGGGCCGGCAGTGCCATGCCACTCTCTGCAACTTTTCGGTCTTTTTTGCCATGGGAGTCAATGAAGCAGGCAAACTCCTTGTGACATGAATTGCTCTGTCAAAACAAAAGCAGAACGTGCCATATGACACTGGAATGAGGAACATGGGATGGATCTGGACCAGCATCAATCACATGACTGAGCAGTACAGACCACGGCCCCAGCCCTGACCTTAATCGGCCCCCCAGCCACCCATAGGACACCTAACCAGAGCCCAGAAATCACCCAGCTTCTTTGCACGCGCCTGGGACCTGCCCAATTACCAGAAGCTTGCTCTCGTTTTGTTTTTTTTGTTTTTTACTGGGGAGGTTTTTCTTGTGCGATATCCTGTCTTTGGCAGTTTTTTTTCTGTGTTGAACTCTGTTTTCTGAGCGGATTTCTAAAGAATCTTCCCTCATATCACCCATCTTTGCCCCTTGGCCTGTATGTCGGCATATCTGGGGGTGAACGAGCATCTGCTCCCCCCCACCGAGGCTCATATAGCCCCTAATTCATCACAGGCTTTCTCAAAACTTCAGGAGAAATATAATCAATAGAAAAAATCCACCTGTAACAGGAAGCCACAGTTTCACCTGCTTCCTGCTGTGTTTACTTATGTGATGGTAAAGCAAGATCTGTTTGCATTGAATTGTGCCGGGGTTAAAAATACCGTAATGCCGTAGGATGCACCTGAAGCGGAACAGCATAGCTGGCTCTTGCTACATTCCAGCTTGTCCTCCCTCGAAAAGAGTATCTGTTGTGTCCCTAGATTGCCCACCCTAGAAAGAGCATCTGCTTGTGTCTCCAGCCTGCCCTCCTCTGAAAAGAGCCTCTGTCATGTTCCCAGATTGTCCTCACCCGAAAAGAGCCTCTGTCGTGTCCCCAGATTGTCCTCCCCTGAAAAGAGGGTCTGTCGTGTCCCCAGCTTGTCCTCCCCCAAAAAGAGCATCTGTTGTGTCCCCAGATTGCCCTCCCTGAAAAGAGCGTCTGCTCGTTTCTCCAGCTTGCCCTCCCCTGAAAAGAACCTCTGTCGTGTCCCCAGATTGTCCTCACCCAAAGAGAGCCTCTGTCGTGTCCCCAGATTTTCCTCACCCGAAGACTGTTTGCCATGTCCCCAGAATGCCTTCACCCAAAAAGCGCCTCTGTCATGTCCCCAGATTGTCCTCACCCACAAAGAGCCTCTGTCGTGTCCCCAGATTGTCCTCCCCTGAAAAGTGCCTCTGTCGTGTCCCCAGATTGTCCTCACCCAAAAAGAACCTCTGTCGTGTCCCCAGATTGTCCTCCCCTGAAAAGAACCTCTGTCGTGTCTCCAGATTGTCCTCCCCTGAAAAGAGCCTCTGTCGTGTCCCCAGATTGTCCTCACCCAAAAAGAGCCCCTGTCGTGTCCTCAGATTGTCCTCACCCAAAAAGAGCCCCTGTTGTGTCCCCAGATTGTCCTCACCCGAAAAGAACCTCTGTCGTGTCCCCAGATTGTCCTCCCCTGAAAAGAACCTCTGTCGTGTCCCCAGATTGTCCTCCCCTGAAAAGAGCCTCTGTCGTGTCTCCAGATTGTTCTCCCCCGAAAAGAGCCTCTGTCGTGTCTCCAGATTGTCCTCATCCGAAAAGAGCCTCTGTCGTGTCTCCAGATTGTCCTCACCCGAAAAGAGTATTTACAGTTTCTACAATTGCAGTCTACAGCTCAACTGCTGCAATTTTTACTTTGCATAAATAATATAAAATAATATGTTAGTCCATTGCATGTCACGTATGGTAGCATGAGGCCCTGTATGTGCACATGCGTATTAGGCGTGTTTTTTTCCTGAGCGTTCGACACTTGTTGTGTGAACTGTTACAGTGGATCCTCATTCCGAGAAGTCACATGACCCCCCCCCCCCCTCCGTTTCTGTGCTGTTTTCCTAGCACGCCTTTTCACTGAGGTTTTGCAGGGTAGAATCAGGGACTTTCCCTTCAGCTGCTAAAGTGCCCCCCCCCCTTGCTCTCGCTCTATCGCTCTCTCTCTTTCTCTGTCTCTCTCGACCTCTCCTGCTTGATCGTTATCACCGCTTCTGCGTCATGTGGCTGCTATTGTTGCACCCATAATCTCCCTTTCATGGCTGAGGGATGGTTATGATCATTATAGGTCAATTATGTACATGCAGATTTTACCCCCATGATCTTTACTTTCTTGTTTTTGTATCTGTTTATCTTGGCATACTTGAATGTAATTCCTAGGACAGCTCTCCACGGGAGAGGAATGGGGTTTTCCCTCTCTGTCCCACCCTGAGTCTATCACCCCCAGGCACCAGAACTCCCCTGCCTGCCTGCCTTCCTTCCCGGTTCATCTCTGGTCTCTCCCAGGCATATCTCTACTATATGTCAGCATTTTTTTCCTTTCTCACCATAGAGTGATTAACAGGAACCTACAGGATGCAGTATACATTCCTGAGAGATTATTATGCGGCTGATGACCTTTGTGATTACCGAAATGTCCCTGACTTATCCCTGCAATCATATTCCAATTTATTGTTTATGAGTACAGTTAAAGACTATGGATTTTCTTAAGTTAACAAAGAGATATATGTCATTTTATAAAAGGTCATTTTAGTGTGATAAGCTTTGCCAAGACTGAAATATGAGACAGCACCAGGATTCATAGGATTCCAGGGGATTCACCATGAAAATACCCACAGCAGCATTCTTAGCCTGCGTTGATATGTACTCGGAACGTGTGTGTGCCGGTATGTGTGAGTAGGAGTGAGTCAGAGTGGATTCAGGGAAATAGGAGTGTTGATTTCACAAGAAGGGAGGGAGGATAGTATTTGGTGTGACATGGAAGGAATTTTTCTTTTTGATCTTTTTGCTCTCTGACCTTGTGGGGAGGGTAATATTCCTGCGTGGTCACTGGAAGGTGAATAGATACGTAAAATAGATGAACACCGTTCTGTCTCCTTGAAAAAGGCACCAGTTTGATTCCTTTGCACATACTGAATAACCAGCATTATCCTTCTGTGTGCTTTCATGTAACAAGGTGTGTTATTGGTCCACATTGTGATGCCAATGCATTTGCATATGGGCTTCAGTTCACCAGGGTGATGTCTGCCTCTAATTCTGTCTTTTAACCCTCTGAGGCTGCTTGGCAGGCTGTTGTTTTCTCATGCTCTCGGTGTGGCAGGCAGCACCCTGGATGGGCATGTTGCAGCCGTGGCACTGGTGTTTTGATTATGTAAGTCGTGTGGAGATTTACCCGAAGAACAGGTTCCAGCTGACAGTGACTTGTAAGAAAATTCTGAATATTACTAAATCTGTAGGGTTAAATTGGACGTGGTGATGCGTTTATTGTGTGGTGAAGTGCTGAGGATTTGACCCAAACGCACCCATTCATCGATTCCACGCTCATCCACTGTAGCTAGAAGGCTGTCCCAAAAAAACATGGCAGGGGACACATGTATACTATGGGCAGTTTAGAGATAACTGCTTGCAAACTGCGCCCAGTCAGAATGGGGGTGAAATTCGAATCCCCATCCCTGGAGGTGCAAAGCAGCAGAGCTACCGCACCACCAACCACATTTTAGAGTTAGATTTACAGAACAAAACCAAAGCTAAATAATAACAGCTAAAAATCTTGATATAATGCATCAAAACTATTAACATGTCATCTTAAAACTGAGACTGTTGCTGTTGACATAATGCCTCAAAACTGAGGCAACTACTGTTGACATAATGCCTCAAAACTGAGGCTATTACTTTTCACATAATGCCTTAAAACTGTTTACATAATCCCTGAACAATTAACCAAAACACCATTTGGCCATGCTCAGTTTAGCGGTGAGTAGGATATATATCGATTGGTACTTCCGTCTCACTGATGGCACCTTGTTAAACAAAAGGTTTAATTGATCTTGTAATGCTCATGGTGAATGATTTTGAGTAACACAATCAGGATTCATACTCTGTGGTTTATGCAGCTTGAATGGACTTCCTGCCTCTAGGTCTGGGGTTGGATACATTTGCGGGTTCAGTGTGTATGCCATACAGAGGGCTGTCCGTGACTCTGGCCCCGTGACAAGGGGAAGAATTGATTTGTAGAGTCACTGTTTTTCTTTGCCTGCAGGCTGAATTTGTGTGGGTACAGTTCATGAGAAGACACGTGACAATGACCCAGCCATTGTTTTTCACTTTCTGTGTCCCTTTTGGGTTACCCATCCCCCTTTACAGACACCTCTACACCTGGCTGTGATTACTCATCAGGCTCTGCTGGTGCAGCTCCTGCTCAGCGCTGGGGCTGACCCCACTATGCTGGACCGGCATGGCCAGACTGCGGCCCACCTGTGCTGTGAGCATGGCCTCAGCTCCTGTCTGGGCCTGCTCCTCCGCCACCCTGCATCCCAGACCTGCCTTAAAGTTCGCAACTATGAAGGTGAGTCCTGCCACTTGTCTTCCCAGCCTCCCCTCACCTAACCAACGGCTGGGCTTCATTGTACTTTGTAGTGTCCCTACCCCTCTGCTCTTCCATATGGTAACCCCCCCCCCCCCACCAACTGGCTAGCACCGGTTTCTGGTAGCTGATCTTTGAAGAGTCCCTTTTCTGGGTTTCGGTCGCACGGAGAAACAAAGTCTGATTGACTCATTCCAGCAATGCTGCAGCTTAAAGCCTAACGTGGCAACCCACAGGCACTGGCCTCATCCTGTCATCTACAACCGGCCTGCCCCCTGGCGTGTATGGTTTCAAAATCCCAGCAGGTCCTTATCTATTGTTAATAATATGGTTCAGTTTAATCACTGTATGGAGTGGGGTAAGATAAATCATTACATTTTACGCTCGATTTTAATTACCTTATGGTATCACCTGGTTTAATCCTGGCTCACTATGGTCCAGTTCAATCACAGCTCAGTACGGTCCAGTTTAATCATTGTATGTTATGGTCCAGTTTAATCACTGCATCCTTCAGTTGTGTTAAGTCCCTGCATTGCTTCAGTCTGTACACTATACCTCATGTACCTGGACAGCCTGAAGCAGGCAGGCCTCTGTGCTGTATGTGCAGTGAGTATATAGTCTGTCTCGTTGCTCAGCATACTCTGGCACAAAAGAAACTTTCCTGACTGTTAAGTACAGAAAGCCCCTAAAAATACAGAGAGGGCGAGCCAGCGCTTCTGAATGGGAGGCCAGTGAAGCGTATGTGTCCACTTTCCCTGTATAGCATGACATGTGCTACCTGTCTTGCAACACAATGGTACAACCGTGTACCACAGGAATGGTATGTCACAGTGAAACACAGATATGCTTCTGTGCTCTAGTGGTTCACTCAGCATCTTTGCCTGCAGGTCTCACGATGCTCCACTTGGCTGTCCAGAACTCAAACAAGGAGCTTGTCAAGATGATCCTGGACAGTGGGGCTGACATCAATGCTGTGGTCAGTCTTCCCTCTTACCCTTTCTGTGTTTCTGACTGCCATGCCGTTAATTTTTTTTGTCTCCATTCATGTGCCTCATGGTAGCCTTGAGTTCACCCAGTTTGTGGACATCTTTGCTGTCGTCTACAACAATTTACTCTGAAAATAGACAGCAGAACTGTGCAGATAGAGGAACTGGAGAAATATATGTTCAGCTGAAGCGCCCCCTTGCTTCCCCTTCTGTGGAGGATCATTGATTTCATTTGCACTTCATTGTTAGGCCTGAGTGTCCACTGCTGCATGGGTCTTTGTTCTGCTGCTGGACCTTTAAGGCCGAAACCCTGAAACCCTGACTCTGTGCATGTTAAGTCCTAAATGAGAAGTTCATCTGTCAGAATGTCCACCATGTCCATGAGCCTCCTCCATGTTCCTTCAGGATTTCAAAAGCGGGCGGAGTCCCCTCATTCATGCTGTGGAGAATAACAGCATGGAGATGATCAATTTCCTCATCGAGGTGGGTCTTCTATGTGAATCACTCATTCTTTTGGGTCCTCATCTCTATACTTGACTTTCTTCTCACCAACCCATGTTTCCTCATATTCCATGATTTCAGTGCATATTGAATGCTATGACTGATGTACGTCAGTAGGAGGCACTCTTGTGACATCACTGTTTCCCATTGCCTTTGACGCGTGTCCCTCCTCCAGCACACAACTGACCCTGCCCTCCTTCCTTGCCCCCCCCGCCCCCCCCAGAGCGGCAGCAATGTGAACATGCAGTCCTACAGTGGCAACACAGCCCTGCACAGCGCCTGTGGCCGGGGGCAGGTGGAGGCCGTCCGTGTGCTGCTGAAGAATGGTGCTGACAGCAGCCTGAAGAACTACCACAATGACACCGCCCTGATGGTGGCCAAGAATAAGAAGGTGGATAATGAGTTTGGCAGTAGGGGGTGTAGGCAGGTTATAGTGAAAGCTCAGCAGGAAATGCAGAGACACTGATAGCAATCTAAGGTCTCCCACTAAGGTCATCTTAATGGGAGTCAGCAGAAGATTCATTGTTTTTGCTACAACAATAATACTGTAAGTACACTGTTCTTTATACAAGTGTTTCTCAAATCCCAATTCCCTGTGAGTTGTGAGGGAGAAAAAGCATGGACCGTTTTGGGGTCCCCAAGGACTGGTTTGAGAAACACTGCTATATAAGCATGCACATGTGTATTTTGTACATTCTTTGGAAACACTCCCCTCTAGTGGTCATTATATGTAAATGCATGATACCTTAGCATAACATAGGTTAGGATTTACATATTTCTTTTTAAGATTTAAAATTTTCTTCTTGTCGTTGTAATAATACATCTGTAATTTTGCAGTAATTCAGTTTGAATTATTCTGAGCATTACCATTGTCTTTGTGCTGTGCCATTTGGTATATTTCTAGTGTACATTCATCCTCATAACCACTTTTTACACCAGGTAACAGATGTGTTGCGTGGTAAGGGGTCACGCAACCAAACTACAAAAACGGCAGAGCCCTCTGATTCCATTTCGCCTCCTCGGTGCACACCACAGTCCCACCCGCATAGCACCAATGGTGAGAAGAGCATTTTTACAAACATGCATTCATGTACATTGCATGCAAACACACACATTCGTGCTGCAGGTGGTGACAGAATATGTAATGAAATAACATCTCCCTATACCTATGGAATTTGCTAATCATCCATCTTTTCATCCACCCATTTTCCATACTGAATATCCAGTATAGGGTCACGCCATAGCTGTACCTTCTTTCTACACCTCTCTCTCCCCCAGGGACCCCAGTGCAATCTCCAAGCCAGAGCCTCTGTCCCTCCCCGCTGGCCACACCAACACAGCTAGCTCCATCTCTGTCTCGGAATAACCCTGGTTCTCCGATTGCTCCTCCTTCTCACTCTCCGGGCACCCAATCAGTTGAGGACCACTCAGGTAGTCAACCCATGATGGCAAAACAAGAGAGCAAAGACCAGCACCTGCAGTGCACGCAGCCCTCCATGACAGTGAACTGTGAAACAACACCGAGAATGCACGTCCAACCACGCCTGTATTTACCAGCAGACTGTGCCACCTACCAATCTTACTTCAGAGACAGCACTTTGGGTCCCATAATTCCCTATCCTGTGTATCACAACATTTTACAAACTGTCTGCCCAGAGCAAGCATACATCTTCCTCCCACATGGCTTCTCGCATCAGCTCAATTATGCCCAGCCGCCCTGTTACCATCCGGTCCAATCACGGCCATCCAGCCGAAGTAGTGACCAATCGGATGCCTCTACAATGAGCATAAGCAGTGGAGGAAAAGGAGAAAGTTGACACTTGCTCACCACCCCTGTAACTCTTTGAGTCTGTATTTCCTAAAACCGGATCAGCTGAATCTGTGCTGAACAGCAAAAAAATCCAGTAGCAGAAGGACACATGTGAACTGTGAAAATAGTGAAACTGTAAAAATATTATTTATATGACCATATTTATACTATCAAACTGGCAATATGTAAAGCAGTTTTTTTGGCAGTCTGCATTAACATATTCACAAAATGATTTTATTATGGGTGACAAGGTGGTGCAGTGGTTAGCACTGTTGCCTCACAGTGAGAAAGTCCTGGGTTCAATCCCATCTGTGTGGAGTTTGCATGTTCTCCCCATGCATGTGTGGGTTTCCTCCCACAGTCCAAAGCCATGCAGGATAGGTCAACTGGCTACTCTAAATTGCCCATAGGTGTGAATGCGAGTGTGTTTGTCTGTGTTGGCCCTGTGGTGGACTGGCACCCTGCCCTGGGTGTACCCCACCTCTAATCTGATGATGCTGGGATTGGCTCCAGCTTCCCTGTGACCCAGATGGATAAAGCGGTATAGATAATGGAAGGATGGTTTTATTACTTGGGTTTTTTTTTATAACCACTTTAACAACAGAGATTTTTAAATAAAGAACTGACTGTTGTCATCAGGTGTTAAAACTGACCTTTGAGAGGGTCGTCGCCAGCGGTGTGTGGTTTAGAAAGGATGTCATAACGTCCTTTGTATGTGGTTATGAGGTCTTTCTAGGTATTGACACACACCAAATGGGTCACAAACAGCTTTCTCTATCAGAGGAAAAAAACTGCATGGATTACTTGCATGGTGCAGACAGAAGAATGTACATATAATTTTTTTCAGTCCAGAGCATTCAATTGAACTGTATTATATAAGCAAATGAGTAATGTGAGGCATGTAAAATGCTGTCCTGTTGGTCTTAAAAACTCACTGACTGCAAGTGACAGTCAAATGCAGATTCTTCTTCGTGGGTAAATAAGGAAAGTCTTATTATTCCAGCATTACTGCAACTGCTAAGAAAGGCTTTTTATCTCTTAGATAAGTTCAATGACCAGTTTACATATATATGACCAGAAATCAGCTCTTCATCAAGAATTCTTCTCTTCTTAAGATATACCTGATTTGTTACTTGAATTAATCACAGGTACAGACATGAATCTGAAACCTGGGTGTTTTTGCCTTACTGGATAGCCTGGTACCAGTTGAGTCAGTGTAATCTCATTGATAGTTTAATAAACCTAAAAGGTAAGACTGCACTTTCTACACGAAGCATTGAGGGCTAGTAGAACATTCCTTAAAATTACAGCAGGAAATGTACTTATTTGCCAAAATCCACCATGATTTTATATCTGTCATTTTTTTACGATCACTGTATTCCGACAATGTAATATTCTCTACATTCATAAACTGCAACAATGTTAATGTTGTTTTTTTAAGTAAAAATAGCATTTTTAGGAGCAGCACTTTAGCGAAATCTGTGCTGGTTTAATATTTACTTGCAAAACTTGTTCATTTCTACTGTTTACCTGTACATGTGTATAAATTCAATAATAATACATTCCAGTACTAAATACAAGATCTTATTCATTATGTTCCATTTTATTGTCCCCTATTTTGTGTACTTGTCCTTATAATAGATGTGGATCCACAAATTTTTTCTGTTTTAGAACACCATCAGTTCTTGAAATGTGACTATGAAAACCAGATCTATATACGTATGATATGTGGTGGCTGCTGTTATTCTATCCGCACTTTTTTGCACAATTGATTTTAATTGTGTGAGTGCTGTCAGATATCACATCGCATGGTTTTCAAATTTTTATTTTGCTTTTTCTTCTGAATGACAACACAAATGCACATCGGTCTATACTAAATTTTAGATTCCTATTTGCAGCAAGACAAATCTTAAATCTTGAGTAAAATACCTCACAGATCCAGTCTTCTAAGTTTGAATTAGTTTCCAGAGGTTGGAACATTATAATTTTAATATTGGTCTAGGCTGAGGACCCAATATGATAGGCTTTCATGGGGTCCAAAATGTCTAGCGGTACCGCTGTCTATTCTAGCAACTTAATGCCGATGAGCTAACGCAAACAACTAAACGAGGAACAATCAAACACTTTTGAGGTGGTAACTAAATTTCCGCAGCTATTTTGTGAGTTCATGATGTACAATTCCCGTGTTCATTTTTTCTGTTTCCGTTTTTGTATAATTGTACATATATTTTTAAATGAATTAATAAATATCCCCCGCGACACAGTATTGGATATGCTGCTACACTACAGAAAATCGACAGATGGATTAATAATCATATTCATATAAAAGTCAGTCTAACATACAGTATTCAGTTACATAGCATAATCTCATGAGAAAATGGAGAATTCAACAAATTTGATTAAAAAAATATTGTTTAATATTTTAATGCAATATATTAGAGCGTTAGACGTATGACAATAACTGACGGGTTCTTTAGTTAGAGAACTACATTACCCATCCGGCACCGTGTACCGGCGCCTTTGTAACGTCATGCTTCGGCTTCAGCGCAAAAAAACAGCGAACGAGAGAGAAAGAGGACGGCCATGTTGAATTTCCAAATTTCACATAGAAGAGACAACAATAGAGAAAGACGACTTGATCGTAGTGAATTTCCCGAGAGATCAAATGTTTCAATAGAGCAAATGAAAGAGTCTGTTTTAAACGACTAAAGAAAACCCCATCACCAGGAAAAGGTAGTTGATTCTACGTGCTCTTTTCACTTGATTAAGAAGGTATAACAAACTAAAGAGTCCGATCATGCCAACAACAGCGAAATGTGTGTTCGTAAACCTTAGCTAGCCAGCTAGCTACCCACTATAGTTAAAACAGCACTTTCAGTAGATGAGTTATTGTTTCAAGCAGTATGAGCATTGTCGCCGATATTTGATTTTCGGGGCTCGCGAGTATTTGTATTTAAAAATTTGTAATCAGTTGTGTATAGTAATCCGAGCACTCGTCCGCTCCCGGTAGCCGGATCGTTAGCACAGATTTGCCGCTTTGTTGTCGTCCTCCAATTCGTTGACGAAAAGTTGCTCCGACTTATAGGTTGAAGTTGGGCGCGTGTCGGTGGCTGACAGCTCGCTTGTGCGCCAGCGCGCCCGAGTCGGCTGCACGCGGCTCATCTTTCTCCGGCTCGTGCAGGACTTTTTTGAACGTTTGAAGCATAGCGTGTGACTGGTCCCCCTCTCGCGCCGGCCCGCCGTTACCGCGGGGCTCCGTGTAAATGGCCCGTCTGAATTTTAAAAAGACCTCTTAAAGACCAACTCACCCATTTTGTTACCGGCGGCACAAACTAGTGTTACGCGTCTAGTCTGCCAGCAAAACTTAGCGCGGCGTATTATTGGCTTAACAGAGAGAGTGTTTGTAAATTGCAGCGTGTGCTGTCCTATGGTGTCGTGCCGTGGGTTTTTTTTTATCCTGCTTGACATCGGTTTTTTATGTTTGTAATTCAAGCTCAGTGAGAAAAAAGTCGCTGGCGGTCTAATTGTTTGCAAATCGGTCATTGCTACGGTCTGTTCTAGTTTCAGGCGAATTAACAGTATTTACAAACATATATTTAGCTTTTAGAGTTAATAACTGTAGTAAGGTGAAGAGTTGGTATTGTTTCCGTTAGCTTAATTGAACGACGCTGCCCAAACCGTGAACACCGTACACATTGCGATGTTTTGATATACTTAATTTAAATTTGGCATGCGATTCGCATTTAAAATCGGAATCCTCTTATTAATGTCGTAATTATCAGGCACGGACGTTTAGCTGAAACTCCCAGGATCTGGTTGTCGGGGACGCGGGCTGTGTGCCCAGTGGGAGCCGGAGAATTAGCTACGATCAGCAGATACATGCTGCTCTTTTCCTGCAATAAACAAGGGGTCTGTGTACAATTCGCTTTTAACTAAAGGCATTGCTAACACAGTGCGATACAAGAATACATCTTTATGGAAATAACAGCTGAAAGTCCCGTAGATGAGTACCTACAGGTGTCTTTGGGGTTGGGGCAAAAATCTTCGTGCACTTTATGTGGGAATATTGTTGCGTATTTATGTGTGTATTTTAAGTAACGGGTTATATGTAACGTTTTCTAAAGTTTAAAGTATTCTCTGTGATATTTGTATTGCATTGCATACTATGTCTAATATGTATGTTAAGGGAAAACAAGTAGTGTTTTAAAGGTAAATGATCCGGTCATTTTTACACGAGTGGACTTTAAAGCTGTTCATGCATGGTCTCTCTACAGTTCATGTGTTAATAATGCCCTGACAATGCTCCACATCCTGACAGGTCTGAGAACCGGGACGCTGGCTTGTTTCGCAGAGGAGCCCAGAAGCTGAGACCACCTCTCCTACAGGACACAGAGTAGCCACCTTTTTAGCTGAGGCAGAAAGCAAGAGCCAAACACTGTGAAAGAACCCTACAGAAACTCTACACCATATTTCATTTCGGACTAAAAGCCCCATTGGTGCATTTGCTGCAATTTTCTGTTTTCATCAGGAATACTATTGGTGACATACCTACAAAGCAAGAAGGATAAGACTAAACATCTTATGTGAATTTGAGGGCCATTAAGTGCAAGATTATAAACAGAGAACATCTAAGAGTTCGCGAGTAGGCCCAGTGGGAGGAAAAAACACAAGAAAAAACAGACTTTTGAACTGAAACACCACAAAACTCTGGAAGACTTTGGTCTGTTGAAATTGCCTTAGCTGTTCTTACCCAGAACTTGTATTTCATGATACACGTTTACATATAATTTTCTATACTGTGTGCGTGTATGTAACTTATTTATTCTCATAAATGCTTACTTCTCTTCATATGGAAGAGTATTTGTGTATATAAACTTTTGTACGGCAGATGCTCTTTATTTTGAAGAGTTAATGTGTGTATATAGAATTATATAAGTACAAAAATAAGTTATAAAATCTCAAAAGAACAGTTGTCAGTCTTGCATCTTTAAACTGTTAAGTGATAAGTGAAGGAGCATTTTGAAGACGAGCTTGTGATTTGAACAAATCCGGAGCTTTCTTGGCAATGGCAACTGCAAGAACAGAAAATCCAGCCACTGTGGTCATGGGATTGAACAAGCAAAACGGGCAGATGAGGGGGCAGCCCAAACCTGCCCCTGTTTCTTCAGGACCCCTAGCTGTTGGCTCTCAGCCAGGGAAGACCTCCAGTGCACCTCAGAAAGGAGCTAGTGTCCCGCAGTCTGGCAGTGGCATCAAGTATGTTGTCATGTATAACATTCATCGACTTTGTTCAGTTGTCCTTCTGTCTTGGTTGTCCAATCCCTTTCCCCCCACCTTAAATGTTGCTAAACTTGTTTAAGGTTTGGTGATGATTGGAAGAAGTGCCTGCAGCTTCCCCCGAAAGACCTGCGTGTTAAAACATCTGTAAGTCAGCGTGCTTCTGCTACCACCCAATCAACATTATGCTTCTTTGAGAGTGCACAGTTCGGTACAGGTGCATGTAAAGGTGGAAAAGGCTGACATTCTTGCTTAGATGGACATGACTGCTGTAAATTCTGCTAAAGGTTTTTGCTGCTGCTATGTCCCATCAATACTGATGTACCCCCCCCCCCCCCACCACCACCACCACCAGGATGTGACAGCAACAAAGGGAAATGAGTTTGAGGATTACTGTCTGAAGCGGGAGCTACTGATGGGCATCTTTGAGATGGGATGGGAGAAGCCTTCCCCCATTCAGGTAGGCTGGTTGCTTTCCTCAGTTGCTTCGAGAACTGTGATATTTAAGCATACTACAAAATGTACCCATACTCTGCCTGACTTGAGACATGCAACCTGATTGTGGTCTCTGTCTTTCTTAGGAGGAGAGCATTCCCATTGCTTTGTCTGGCAGAGACATACTGGCCCGGGCCAAAAATGGCACGGGCAAGAGTGGCGCCTACCTCATTCCTCTCCTAGAGAGGGTTGACCTAAAGAAAGACTACATACAGGGTGAGCCAGTCATCCCCTCCCGTTTTACATGTACATGCTTTCAACCAACCTTTATGATAAAAGACAAGAAGGTTAAGCTTGCACTTCAAGCATGCAGTAATATTTACATGTGGATATTCACTCTTCACGTGTCTGGTTACTGCACACGCTGTACTTCCAGAAGGCTTGTGTACAAGGCACTGACATATGGACAGAGCCCTTGGTAATCACACACGCTCCACCTCCCCGGCCGTCAGCACAGCATGTGCCCTTCAGGGAACAGTTGTGCCTAACCCTGGCCTCCTCCTTCAGCTCTGGTGATGGTGCCCACCCGAGAGCTGGCCCTGCAAGTCAGCCAGATCAGCATCCAGATTAGCAAGCACCTGGGAGGGGTCAAAATCATGGCCACCACAGGGGGCACCAACCTTAGGGATGATATCATGAGGCTCGATGAAACCGGTAGGTTTTGGCTTGGGTATTTGACAGACTCCTTGACTAAATCACTTCTTTACCTTGTATAATTCTTGCTGTTATCTGCTTCTTATTTGGAAAAAAGAAAGAAAAAAAATATATATATATACACACACACACACACACACCTGTATGATAATATATCTGTGTATGTGGGAATGTGCATATTTGTACTTGTGATTTATTAATGTTTAATAACCTAAGATGGCATTCTCTTCAAGTCTGTGTTACTGCAAAATTTGTTCAGATTGAGTAGTTGGGGCACCTGATTTGAATTACATAGTTTTACACAGGTGGTCCTTTATGTGCATGCTCAGTTTAGTGGCACATCACATACAGTTTAACTTAATATGTTGCTACTGCATTGATTAATGAATTTATAGTTGTCTTTCTTACTGGAATTAATTTCCAGATTTAGTTTTCTGACCTTGTCTCTCTTGCCAGTTCATGTGGTGATAGCCACCCCAGGTAGGATCCTGGACCTGATCAAGAAGGGGGTGGCCAAAGTGGACAGAGTCCAGATGATGGTGATGGATGAGGTGAGATGATATTTTGAAGGCTCTGTTGGGCTGTTGAAGTTTTCCCCAGCAAATCTGAAAATAGGCTGTATATTATGCTGTTGTGGATATGCTAATTTTGCTTGCTACTGTGTTGGTTAGGCTGAGCAGTAAAGCAAAATTGATTGAATTCCCAATGGTGATTTGTTTTGGGAGACGTAGAGTGGTTTTGCATTTACATTTCTCATAATTCCTCCTTTCACATGACTTTGTATGCATGTTGTTTGTCTTGTGGTTATGATTTAGGGTTTATCTGTGTGAGAAACACAAATGCTCAGTAGACATGTTATCCCAAAAAGAGAATTGCAGTGACAAGGGAAGTCAGTCTTGAAGGCTGAAATTGTTTATAGAGAAGGTGGATCTTTGTGAGATATAAGGATAAGCAGCTTTTGCTATATAATTTTCCCATGTTTTTACTGTACTACATCCTAATCAAAAACTTTTCCACAAATCTTTTTGTGCATTTTCTGTAATGCTTTAAAAATCATAATTTTTGTATTTCTGTATTGATAGTCCTTTTTAATGGTTCCCTAAGTTCATTCTAGTTAGTTAAAGATGTCAGTGATATGCTGATTGAATATTGTTGGCCACTTAATATAAGTGTGCGTGGTGTGCGGTTAACCATATGAAAATAATCAATTACAATTTGGTGTAATGCTGTCCATAACCAAGTTTGAGTTGATTTGTTTTGTGTAGTTGCACACCACGAAGTGGTTTATCCGGCTAATACCATGCTTTTAATTAATTAAAATTAAATTTTCAGTTAGAATTTAATAATTTTCCAGTGTGCTCTTAAAAATATAGTGTCCTGTTAGGCTACTCATTGGAAGCAGCAAGTCTATTAAGATACCACAGAATCTGTCAACAGACAGGTGCGTGTGTTTGGAAATCAAGGAAAATTATGCAGATAGTGACTGATTTATGAGTTAGTTGCTTAGGTTTTTATGTCAACATGTTAGTAAAACATTAAAACAATTGAAACGTCAGACTGCCAGAACTAGCTGTTACATGGAAATAATCAACACCCACGTGACATCTCTGGACCAATAAGAAAATAGTATTTACTAGGTCTGTGCTCAGTTATTTATTTCATTGTGTTGCAAATAACACTCTTTATGGCAATATTTTACATCATTTCGACAACGGGGGTGCCAATACCTGATCCATCCCACTTGCCTGATTTGTACCTCACAGCTGTGCATGTGCAGCCTTTTCAAGCATTACCTTTTCTGGCATGGACTGATCCATTTGTTCTGTCATTTTACAGCAAACCTTATTTTTAGTAGATTACAGTGGTCACTTTACTGTTTAGTGAGAATGAGTGTTAATGATTCCGCTGACTGAAAAAATCAGTTTTTGCTTGTCATTTTAAGTGTTCATTTCAAGTGTTTTTCCAGTTTTTGGATCAACACTAACCAAAATATCCCATATCTGAAATACTAATTTATATCAGCTTCAGGTGAAATTCCTGCTATCCAGCCCCATGGTATTTTAGTATACTTATAGCTTTGGATCTCTCTGAACTGAAATATGAAATTTGGTGTATTTTGCGTTCGTTGCAGTTAGAGCTGGGCGATATGGCAAAAAAAATGATCACAATTTTTCCTGTATTGACCGATATCGATAATTATCAATTTTATAGTTTTCCAATGCTGTTCCATGTAATAATGTAATAATCAAAATAATAAAAATAACCCAATTCTGACAAATAGAATGAATACATTGAAATAAACAATATTGGTAAACAAATACTTATTTTCCAACAAATTTTACTGTTTACATACAAAATTCCCTTAAAATTATAAAAGGTTATTGATTTTCAAGTATTCAAAGAAACATAGCTCAAATGAACAAAACCATATAATAATGTAACAATGTGCAAAACTGTATAACATTGCAAATATGTTAAAGGGCAAACATAAAATAAAGCAGGAGAGAACTGACTGCAACAAGTATCTTCCTCTATTCTTGGTCTCTTAAAAACTTTAAAATTCTGTGGTTGAAAAGTATCTAAACCGAACAAATAACACATATTCAAAAAAATGAAAATCATAGTTAGATTTTTTTGTCCGGCGGCGCAAAACGTCACCACGCATCACCATGTCACATGGTACAAAATCCTTGCGAGAGCAAGACGACTTGAGACCGACCGTGTAGCACAAACAGGAACCGCCTCTGTGACGACACAACTTTGCCCTTATTGGCTGAAGATTTTAGTCACACGCATGACGTTTGTATCCCACGAAGTTCCAATGCGTTATCTGCTATTTCTCCCGTAAAGCAGTGAGAACTGGTTTTCAGTTCATTTACCTGGTAAAATAAAGTTTAAATAAATTACATAAATGCTCTAACAGTACACGTAAGTTAGTGGTTTATTTATTGTTAGTTACTGTAATGTTGTGATGCTTTATTTGTTTAATTGTCCATTATGTGAAGAAGGCATTCAAGTAAAGATTGCATTGTACTCTGTACATGACAATAAAAACTTTGAATCCTTGAAATACATGCATTTGATCTTTTTCCTGGCAGCTATCCTTTTACACCGAGCCACCATACACAATAGTTTAATTCACTGCTAATAGTTTATCAGGAGTTGGTTATTGTAAAACAAGTAATGTGCATGCAGGTGATATTTGTATAGATTTATCTACACCCTTCTGGCAGTGCTGCCATTGCAGTCAGGTCTTGCAGACTATGAGGAGTAGAAGTTGTCTGACTTGGCTGCAGTCAGTTTATACTCCACCCCTGCAGCTGCCGGCAGATCTCGCTCCACGTCGCGTCAGCTGCAGACAGACCTAAGCCCAAGTCGAACGCACCCATTGCTTCTTTAAGGGAGGATGGGCAAAATTACAATTTGTAGGTGATTGGCTGTTGTGCTGGCGTTCAGTAAACCTCTGCTCGATAAGCCATGCTGAAGTGACTCAAATCAGATTTTTTGCCTTAATGTGACACAGATCTGATCTTTTCAGGGCTGTGTGGACACGCAAATCTGATCTTTTCAAATCAGATTTGTGTCACTTTCATATGTGGTACTAAGTCTCATACGTATCCGATTCCCGGCCATGCTACCTGAACGCTCAGATCGGAATTCGTGTGGCTTTTTGCTTATACGCATGCGCTGACAGAGGTACTCAAATGTAGCCCTCGACATTCTGAAGTTCTCTACAAACTGCTCATCTGTCTATCCATCCACATCACGGTCCCACCATTGCTGGCTCCTTTCTCGTACCCACACATCTCTCACGTTCCAGCAATAACTGCGAAAACAGAAAAAGCTAGCCGCCTGACTTTTTCTCCTTTTCGACCTGCTCATGTACCGCTGATTCACTGTTTGTTGTCCACCAGAGAAAAGTGCAATACATGCGTGAGCTACTAACGCCTCCATTTTTAATGCCATTAGTCGTCCCACAGATATGACGTTTTTTGTTGTTGGTGACGCAGTTGACCCGTATAAAAACGTATCAGTGTGCGCATGTGTAACGTTTCGGAGGACCGATGCGTTCACATTACAGTCAGATACAGGTCACTTGTAGTTATGAATGTGAACTGTCAAGATAGACAAATCCGATCTGAGCAAAAAAACGGAATTGAACGATGTGGCTGGCGGTGTGAATGTAGCCAAAGTGGTACAAATCAGACATTGTAAAATATGCCGTAAAGTGTAATGCTGCACGTGTACAGACGTGTGAGGTACATATCAGGCAGGTAGTACAGACCGTACTTTACAAATTATTCCGCAAATTTGGTCCCCACATTTCAAACACTAGTAATTTGAAAAACGTTTCCTATTTACCCTTTAATATTTTATACATTACCATTTTATATTTTGTTACATGCTTAATTGAAAATTGTAAATTAAAGGAGAAAAATAATTACATCTGCCTTTTATTTGTCGAGCATATACAGTGGTACCTCAGAACTCAAATTTAATCCGTTCAGAACTCCGGATCGAATCCTAAGAAGTTCGAGTTGTGATCGAATTTTCCCCATAAGAGATAGCATTTAAACACAAAATGAACCGGATAAAACAAGAAGAGCATATACTGTACTAAACACATCTAAGCACATTTATCAAAAAGTTACAAGTTATTTGTAAAGTAAGAAAATAAATGTATCCAAACAATGTGTCCTACCCCGATCGTCCAATACTTCCGTGTGCCACGCCCCCTCATTAACCCCGTGTGGAATCCCCGTGTGATCAGCTGTTTCTGGTTGTTGTCATTAGTCCTCTGTATTTCGTCTACGTTTCAGTTTGTTTCCCCAGTCCGGTCATTGTATTGTCCGTCTGCGTTTTGTCTGCCTTACCTGTAATTAAACTCCATATTCCCCGATACCCTGACATCTGCGCCTTTGTCTCTGTTCCGTCCCTGCTCCGCACAACAGTATTATTATAATTGAACGTATTAATGGTTTATTATTAATATTAAAACAATGAATAAGAAATCTATATTTTAAAATGTATTTTATTATATAATAATAATTACTGTTACTGTCTTGTCTAAATGTATTTTTACTGTCCAAATATATGTATTCAGTTAGTGTAAACATGCACAGCTATCACAGCTAATGCAAGGCTGAGACTGAGCAGCCTTTCTTTCCATTGAGAGACGAGCCACATGACTCATTTCCCGCCCGTACAAGTTATCTTAGGTCGGCATTCACGGTTTGAATTCTGAGATTCAGATCGATCTCTAGGTAATTTTTTTTCGAACTGGTTGGTTCGACTTTTAAGAAATTCGAGTTCTAATGAGTTTGAGAACTGAGGTACCACTGTAATTAAAAATGTAGTGAGAAATGCCTTTCCATCTGGTCATTTTATATAAACTATTAATTGAATTTACAAAAAAGTGCTATATTGAGATATGTATCTTTATTGGAATATGAAATGACAACTTTATATATGTGAGATTTTGGTCATATCACACAGCCCTAGTATTTACCAAAGCGAATAAATAAACAAGTATATAATTTATTTCTGCTTA